GGGGGTGGAAATCAACTACTGCAGCAGTCCAGAGCTCCAGCCACAAAACATGGCTACAAATGGGGGCGAGAGGTGATGCAAGAGAAGAGCTACTCTTCCTCAACACTCTAGGATCCTGCATCGCTCACTTTTGCTCCAGCTTCGCTAGGAGGAAAACATCTGATTTTCACTTGTACTAACCTGAAGCCTCCCATCCAGCGTTCTCTGTATTGTAACACACTTGCTAGGATGAGCTCCATTTGTGGTTATAGCTGTAATCAAAGAATCCAATTCATCTTTTTTCTCCTTTAGCTTTTTAACTAAACTTTCAATTGCGCGTTTTGCAAAAGTTTCACTCTCTCCACCTTGTCGATGGCACATCAAGCTGTGAACAATGCTCAGACAAGCATCATTACTTGTTGGCGTGTTAGTAATAGACATATTGTCCATTTGTCACAGCTTTTTTTCTTTCAGATCAAATGTCAGTTTGGGGGGCTGTTATGATTTTCAAGCTGATGAACAAGAGATGATCCAAGTTAAGTGTTAGATGTACTGTCTCTTGGTAAAACCTAGGAGGAAAAAATATCTACATTAGAATTGTTTTTAACAAATTGCAGATCATGTTTCTAAGGAAGTCTGTGGCTTTTCGCTTCTTTTATTTTCAAGCTAAGTGCAGGATATTAAAAGCACATGAAAAAACTGCATTGCTCGTCCCATGATGGTTAAAACATGTTTAAGACACTGCTTGTACAGTTTCAAATAAGATTATTTTTTCCCCTAGTAACAATATTTAAATAAAGATTATAGTTTATATACATGTACACATAGGATGTACATATAGAAAGGTAGCGGGTATTAGATGAACAGGCTCTGAATCAGGAAAAGGAGAACAGTGACAATGATTTCCTATGTTTTATACTGGTAGGATGAAACCAAGTGAAAATACTGACTGGGAATCAAGGGGCATTGATTTAAACAAAATTGGAATAGTGAAGCAGCATGAATGCACACCAGAATCGTCTGTCATCTTTATTTAATAACCCTGTTCAAATAGTTCAGCTATGTTCCGACCTCAGACTACCTCGATTTCTCTTTGCTAACCAGAAAGGTAAAATTGTACCTGGCCACTAGCTGAATACACATTTATCTGAAGTAGCATTGTGTCTATCTTTATATATGAAAATCCCAACTGGCACATCTGTCCTTATTTCTTTGGATCCAGCTTCTTTTGGATCATGACAAATCAATGGAAGTCACTAAAACAGGACTTGTAAATTGTCTCAAACAGAACTGTCTTAATTACACTAAATGCAAGACAAGGAATAAGTACATCCTAGCACATTTAGCCTTATAACTCCATTTGTTAAGCAACTGCCGTGGTTTCTGGTCATGAAATCGTTCTTTTTAAAGCCACCAGACTTCATCCTTTTGAAGTTTCCTTTAATTCCCAAATTAGAAGAAGAGCTGGCCTGATTGTCTCAATTCTGAATGAGCTAATTACTACGCTTGATCTTGTTTTCTCCAGAAACATGGGGCAGCAGATTTTGTGCACTCACAGAAAAGGAGTTTAATGTTGTCAAAAAGCTGCTCTGGTTCTTCAAGCACCTCTCTGGCTTCAGGTAGGCATCCACTACCACCATCCTACCAACTACTGGCCTGACTTCAAGACATTACCAACAAATACATAAGTGTCTTTACATTTACATTTTCTCAGTAAGCTTAAAATATGAGCCCTTCTGAAACTACCATGTTGTTCTTAGCAATGTAAATAAAATATATTTTATTTCAATAGTTAAGGAAAAAAAAGTCTGTTCACATTATCTGAGGAACACATCCAGTCAAAGACCTGCCGCTGCACTGGAATTTTCCATGTTATTAGAGGTACAGTAATAGCAGCTATTTATTGGAAACAAATGTGCTGCACAAAAATAAGAGCGGGATGTTAATTTAGAAAGTCAACGCATCACACAAATTACAGCGTGAATGCATGGTTTCCCTTCTTGTAAAAGGAATACTGTAACACAAATACAGCACAATTATAAAAGCAAAGTCTTCCCTATTTAATATTTTATCCTGTTTCAACACTAATACAGCATACTTTGGTATACTCGGGGGGGGGGGGAATCACAAATCCCTCCCCCCCACTCCGTTTTCAATGCTTTTCTTCTTTTGTAAGGATGATTCTGGACGGAATTTCTCCCAAAGGAAAACAATTACCTAAAAGTTTGAGTAAGAACATTTTATCTAGCTGTTAAAGTTTCTCCCTCAATGCTAGGTTTTTTTCAACTTCAACTCAATAAGCCTCTTTTAAAAGTCAAGTTTAACCTGCCAGTCATTCTCCATGGCAACCCACACTCGCATAAATCCGCAAAAGCTTGCCAGCTAAAACAGAATAGAACATCATTTTCCTTAAATATAGAACAGCACCCCAGATAGATTTGCATAAATAATCATCAATAAGTGACTAGATAAAGCTATTAGCCAAAAGAGCTTTAAATAAAGAGATGCTTAAAATTAGACATGCAGCTCTATCTTCTACAGCCCTGAAACTATGAATGAGAATTCTGCTCGCTGACTTTGAGAAGACTAAGATCAAGCAAATAAATCCTTATTTAAGTGGAATGATCTTCAGAAATGTTGAGTCACCCCTCAGCTGCCACTGCGCTCAATAGGAGCTTCCGACTGTTCAGCACTTTTGAAAGCCGGGCCACTTGTTTAGGATTTTGAATACCATGCCGCTGGTGTGTAATTGCTCTGTAATTCAGGAGCCTTCCTTTACAAGTCCCCTCTACAGAAACCCTGTATTTAATCTTACCATTTTGATCCAAAAAAAAACCAAACCCTGGAGTGAGGTCAGTGGCTATCAATCTGGCACATATTGATAATATTTCTTTTGAAGCACCAGAAGCATTAGTGTATTTTGCAGACAAGCCAAGATTTTACGTTCCACAAATGTAGTTTCTCATGAAATAGCTCTGCAAGCCTATCTTGGACAGAGTCACACATCCGAGAGGTGCCTTAACACCTTCTTACTATATTGCTTTCATGTGTGCAAATAAAAGCAAAATGCAGCCTTAATGCGCTGTATTTTTAGAAGACAGCCTTTGAAGATAAGGTTCCAGCATGCCCTCAGACACGGAGTGCTAGATGTTCTGCAAAACAACAGTGTCCTTGTGTGATTTAAGGATCATTCGATGTGAGCAGGAAACTTCAAATTCGTTCCTTAGCACACCCCCCCCACCCAAGTAGGTGATCCCACACTACAGCTCAAGCGTAGATTTCCAGTGGAACAGGTAGGGACAAATATACCAAGCAAAGATCTTCTTACATCCCTCCACCCAAGAATTCAATGGAAACAGCAGTGGGTGAGAGAGTGTTTTAGGGGAAAAGGGGCAGAGAGAAGAGACGGGGAACACAAGAAAAGCAGCAGCACACACAAGAAGGCTTGCAGTGAAGCGCTCAGCTTTGTCTACCAAGGAACAAAAAGGTGGTTTTCTCCCTTTTGCTATGGACAAGCTAATGTCAAATGCTAACAAGACACAAATTAGAGAAGTGCCTCATTATGTTCTAGGATGTAATTTATTTCAGTAGTATTAACAGGTATTTTACAAAACAAGTGAACAACTGGTGTTCTGCAATAGTTTAAGTAATGTGAAAGACAGAAGACCTTAAGAGTGACGGGTAACGAAAAACACCTTTGATGGTCTGTAGCAAACAGCTACTATCTCAGAGAACTGATAAGTAACCATTAACTGAAACTCCTCCTTCAACACTGGTGCAGACTTGAACGAATACCGTAATTCTGCCGTACATCCACGGCTGCCTGGCTGAAGGGTGATGTATCTTTTTCACCTGTGCAATGAAATTCAAAACATGAAGCAGCTGTCTAAAATTAAAAATGCAACACTGGTGCCACATGCCTCATTTTCATGTCTGTGGATAATTCTGCCAGAAATGGCTACCTGAACAATATAAATAGATTCTAAAAACATAGGCATCTAATAGTACGCTACCTCATCTAACTAAAATCAAAAATTTTATTGACTTATCTACGTGGAAGTAACATTACTGAGCTCCCACACTGGTGCCCTCATTGCATTTATATTTATCTTACGGGTAGGAAAGCAAAATAAGCACTGTACTTACTCAAACTATTCCACTGTTCTCAAATCAACTGCTACATTCTCTCTCTATCAAAACAGTGATCATTTTACCAGCGTGACTAGAAAACACAGTCCGGGTTTTATGTTCAGCATCTTCTGCAAAACTAGCTCAGAGCTCCAGGAGAACACTCCTGTTTGTGGCAGCAAGGTGCTCATCAACTAGAAAAAAAAACTGAGCAAAGTACAAAAAGTAGATGAGGTATCACCCAAAGGGATAATCAATGCATTTATGGACCAAAAAATTAATATTTCACCTTGTTTGCCAGTATCTCTTCAGCTGCACCAGCAAGATACTATTATAAACTAGCATGGCTTAAGAACAAGTGCTTTTACATGCCAAAAACAAGGGTAACAAAAACAGCGTGAGCCATGACTTCCAAATATATGCAACAACTTTTCAGACAGTGTACTAGGTATTTAGGAGAGATGATCATTTGGAAGGCCAGAGAGTTGCTGAGGTATATTTCAGTTTGAAATTCTTCATCAAAAAAAGCAAAGACAAAAGTTTTTTTGCTTTTCATGCTTAGAAAAAACACACAGACTTTATTTCCTTGCTTTTACAGAGGTATTACTGTAGCCATACAGAAGCTCAACTCAAGCAGAAGGGCAGGGGCTGCTAAAAAAATACAAAGACTTCACCGAAAACCCCATCAATGTGCCCTAGCCATTCAGCCAAGAAAATATTGGATCTTATCTGAAAAATCCTTTCCTCCAAACAGCTCCCATTTACAATACTTTACAGCAGTTAAAACTTGCCGAGAAGCTATAAATCCAGATTTCTTAAAAAGAACCCACATTCTTTTCTATGTATTAAGAACAACCTTAAGCAAATACTTTTTACACTCCTAAGTCGCTCACCTTCCCCCTCTCCTCCCACAAAAGCCACACTTTGCAACTTGGGGAGAATGATCAACCCCAAACAAGGGAAATAATACGCTTACGCAGACAAACCAGGGGGTTATGGATGGAGCTGGAAGTCAGGGACGTAACCAAAAGGAATATGATCCAGGCAATCAGCAATCCAACAGCTTGGGCAAGACGGTTAATCCAGGCCCGACGCTGATATGATACACTACCCTATTCATTTACAGTAGAGTTTAAGCCAATCACAGCTGCGGAGGGATCAAATTCACCAAGAAACTCAGTCTAAAAATGTGACAGTCCAAATGCCACTGGATAATTACTTTAAGATATGGGCAAAAGGCCAAGCCCCCCTCCACGTCACTTTCTTAGGGTATATTTTTTTTGTTAAGTTTCTACAGCAAATTAGATATTTTCCAAACAAGA